AAAAGAGCTTAACCGCATCTACGACAAAGATCTACTTGTTGTGTCTCTTTTTAAATTTGAATTTTTTAAAATCTCAAAAGTTTATTATCCCTGATTTTTGAAATTCAAATTTTTTGAAAAATAGCCACAATGGTTTCCCAAAGCATTCATCGCCCTCCATTTTTCAATGGCCAAAATTATTCTTATTGGAAAATGCGGATGGAATACTTTATACAATCCATTGATTTTGATTTATGGTTAAATATACTTCACGGGTCATTTGTACCGAGTAGCGGTAATCTTATAGGATTGTCTTCCGAGGATAAGAGAAAATTATCAATGAATGTAAAGGCAATCAGCATCCTCCATTGCTCTCTCGGCCCCGACGAATTTGCACGAATATGCTCATGCAAAACGGCCAAGGAGGTGTGGGACTTGTTACAAGCCACTCATGAAGGTGAAGTCTCAACAAAGCAAACGATGATTGCCCTTGGGAACTCAGAATACGAATCCTTCAAGAAAAGGCCATGAGAGACAATCCAAGACATGAACAAAAGGTTCAATGAAATTTTCAACAAATTGAGTAAGTTGGGTAAGACGTATACTACATGCGAGCTAAATATCGAAATTCTATTTTCTTTACCTAAAGAATGGCATGGTAGTATAGTGGATTTATTACCCAAATGTGATGAGGCCGAAACTGCCCACATTTGGTCTTTCTTATTTTCTCATGAGCTTTTGTTGAAAAAGATCAAAGAGGAAGAAATGCTTGCAAACCCCAAACTTACCAACGCCTTGAAAGCTTCCAAAGACTCATCAAGTGAAGAATCGAGTGAGTCAAGTGATGAATCAAATGACTCAAGCACATCCGAAGAGTTAAATGATGAAGAAGATGAAGAACAGGCGATGAAAAGGAAGTATACGGATTTCCTCAAATGGAAGAAGCATGTGAAGAGGAAAGAAGCATATTAAAAGCCAAAGAAAGAATGACATAAGCTAAGGTAAGTTTTTATCACTTATTGGGATAAGAATTTTTTGTTGTTTTTAATATTTTTCAAAAATAAAAACTTATCCCATATATGCTCCAACTTATTTTAGCCTTAGTTTGCATGATTAAATAATTTTTCAAAATTCATTTTTTATCAAGGCTTTTAGAAAATAATCCCCAAAAATCCTTGAAAATAAATTTTTTAAACTTGCATCATTTTAGGGGGAGTTTTATGTTTTAGGGGGAGTTTTGTTGTAAATTCACCTTTTTGCCCATTGATCTCCAAACTATCATTTTTTCTAAGAATTCATTTTGATAGGGGAAGGGTTTTCAAGAGAAGGTTTTTCAAGAATTTATACATGCTTCAAAAAAAATTCAAAATGCCCTTTTTTATTTTGACAAAAGGGGGAGAAAATGTAAACTTCAAATTGGTGCATATGCAACTTGACTTGAGGGCATCATTGTGTGATTGTTTGCATCAAACTTAAACTTTTAATAAACACAAGAAAATTCAAAGTGTGTATTTTCAATATGCCTAACTCACTTTGAAGTATATTGTTTGTCAACATCAAAAAGGGGGAGATTGTTAGCCTTGGTTTGCTAAAGCCTCGTGTTTTGATGTTAACAAACAATATAAAACCTAAAATTTGTTTAAGTGTTTCAGGTACAATAAGAATCCATTAAGATTTGGTAGAATGAAGTCGAAACACAAAACTAGCGTAGAATATAGGTAGAAACTATTGTAAGGATATGATTTTATGTACCTTTATTCACAAGGATATGATTTTATATACCTTTATTCCAACATCCAAAAGGTATTAAAAAAATTGGAAATGATTTGGACAAAAATGAAAAAATCATGAAAACGGTCAGCAGGTACCTAGGTACCGTAAGGGGTATCGTGATCCAATTTGAGAAGGTACCCCCTACCGTTTGCTCGGAAGCCCCCCACTGTCAGGTCGAGACCCCCCTATCGGAAGGGGTACTGTAAGAGGACAACTACCGCCACAGAGTTTTGGCCTGAGAATGTACCTAGCTACCGTACGGTACCTAGCTATCGTGACAGGGTACCATAACCATTGGAGGTACTGTTTCTGATTGCTGAATTTGAATTTAATTAACCCTAATCACCTCCCTATAGCTAGTTAACACCTTCCACTATAAATACAAGCCCAATACTTCATATTTCAACAACAACTCAAGCTCCAAACATTCTACTTTTATATTTCAAGTGTGTTTACTCTTTTATTCTTAATTCTTCATATTTTGGCTATTTTAAGAGCCTCATTCTCTTTATTTTGATACACACACTTTTGAGCTTGTGTTTTAGTGATATACTCTCATATTCATAAGTTTATATTGTATTTTTGACAGAGTATAAATTCGTTCTACACCAGTTAGGTCTTGTTCTTTATTTTTGTATTCAAGCCGTTGTGTAGAACCATTTCTTGTGTTCTTCAAGCACACTTTCTTACGGTCGAGAATAGCTGTTAAATTCTCAAGTTGTAACGGTCGAGGATAGCCATATAAATCCTTGGGTAAAGATTCAAGGATGGCCTTTGAAATCCTTAGGGGAACAGTCGAAGATAGCCGTGAAATTTTCATTCTAAGCGGTTCGAGATAGCCAATGTGAAATCTCGGAGTGAATGTTATTGGCAAGAGTTGTTTGCCAAACTAGTGCGGTGCTTTGACAGAGTTCAAGAGACTGAGACTTAGTGGATTCAAAAATCCTTAAGAAGGAGCCTTAAGGTACTGGAGTAGGGAGTTCCCAAACTAGTATAAAATCGGTGTGCATTTTATTTATGCTTTTATTTCTGTGTTTTATACATTCCTTCCGCATTTAAAAACACCGTTTTTATTAAACATCAAAAAGTATTCAAAAGCCTTATTCACCCCCCTAAGGTGTGGGCATAACCACTAACAGAGGCTTCAGTCACTTTTAATCTGAGTGTACCAACAATCTTAAGAAGAAGAAAGTGGCATACACGTCCAGTAGGAGTGATGAAGAACTCGAATAAGGAAGTGAAAACAGCTGTGCTCTGACCTCTTGAGTTGACACAGAAGATCGTGAAAATCTAACCGTACTGTTGGAATGCATGAGTTCAACCCTTTCTGTGTTGTTTAGTGTTGACTCACAGGTTTTGATAATTGACAAACACAATTTATTCAAGTCAAGATTAAAAGTGCTAACAACGACAATCACGAAGACTTGAAGTGCCATTCCTTGAAGTATTCAAGAAGGTGCACAGGATTTTGTTGAAGTCCGAGACGCGTTCGCAGCGCCTAACGGAGGACTCGAAGGAGCAGAAGATTTCCGAAGACTTTTTATTTATTTGAATCTTAGGAATTATTGTAAGGATGACAAAAATATCTTCTCTCCAAAATTATTTTTATGAGAGTCAAAATAAAAATTATAATTATTTTTGGAGTCAGTTGAAAATCTTTTTAACTGTTCAAAATAGTTTTATTGAGTCAGTTACAAAAAGTGTGTCAAACATTTATCAAATATTTATTTCGATATTATAAAATATTTTTGGTAAGCAAAAATATTTTATTCAAATATTTTTCGTGTACATCATTTGACACACAAAATAATTTTTGGACTCACTTTTACTCCCTTATTCAAATTCATTGAATAAGAGAGGTGGAGCGCTCACTGATTCTTCTTGTCTCAAACAACGAGTTTGAGCCAATTCGCTCTCAATCGCAACTGGCCTTGGGCCCTTTGTGTTTGCGCATTATTTCCTTATTAATCGATTAATCTTCCAAAATTAATCGATTAACTGCTTATCGTTGGATTACCCTGGGCTGGAACATTAATCGATTTTTGCTCCTCTGTTAATCGATTAAGGCTGGCAGAGCTGACTAATCGATTTTTTTATCTTCGTTTAATCGATTATCCTTTTCCTCGCAGACTCCATTAATCGATTTTTGAAGATGCTTTAATCGATTTTTTATGATGCATTAATCGATTATGGTGATGCATTAATCGATTAATGTGCTGCATTTTTCATCACAGCTTCTTTTCTTGGACCAACGGATATATTCCTTCAACCCCTTTATAAACCTCACTCCTTGGTCATTTTTACAATGAACAAGCACTCCTAAACTCCCCCAATCTTGAGGTTATAATCCTCCATTCATTTCTTCCTCAAATTGATATATTTTGAGAGAAAACTAAGTGTTTTCAAGAGAGTGTTCTTGTCATCCATAGAGCTTAATCTTTTCTCATTTCTACTCTTGTGAGAGTTATTGCTGAGAGGTTGAAGAAGATTGTTCTTCTTGTTGTTCAAGGCTTATGTGACTTAAGTCTTGGTTCTGAAGTCTTGTAGAGAGCATATCTACAAGCGGTTGTGTCGAGGCTTGTGGGATTCAAGTTCTCGAGTTGTAAATGGTTTGTTAAGCACCCGTAAGCTTAACGAAAGTAGTGGTAGCTTCGAGAGAGTCTCTCGGGGAACTGGACTAGCCACGAGGTGGTGAACCAGTATACATCGGTGTGTTCTTTGCCTTCTCTCTTTTATTTCCGCTGCACTTACATTTATTTTATTAATCCTGCAAAAATCGGTAAACATTCTCAACAACTCTATTCACCCCCCTCTAGAGTTCCACACATTGTCTAACACGTACAACTTGTAGAACTTTAGAAAAAATGGGCAATTCTCTTGATGATAAACTTGAAGAATGTCCTAGAGAAAAATAGAATCACTAATGAGTGAACCCAAGCTCACGAAAAACTCATGGACGCTTAGGACAAATCAAAGAGCTTGAAGGTTTGCAAGCGAATCTTGAACACGATCTGAAAAAATGTTTCAAGATCACACCAAATGGATGAAAAGTGCTAGAGCGGAAAAGGTTGAGTAAGCTATCCATACTGGAAAATTCTCAAATGACAAATCCGAACTAGGTCTTTCAAAAATTAATAAGGCTCCTATTCATCTGATTCTTGAGAAAAAACTCAAAAAGGTTCTTTCATATGACAATCCAACCACACGTCAGAGGTATGGCAATAGAAGAAGGGGATGTGAGGTTCCTTATGTCTGGACCTCCATTATTGTTGATAGACCTGTAAAGAGAAAGATCAAAGCTGAGTTACATATGACAAAAAATATTCACGATTATACTCGTCTTCTAAAGCAACATAATGTTCTTCTACTGTAGAAGATGGGGTCACATCAAAACACATTGCAAGAAGCCAAAGAAGAAACCGTCCAGAGGTATACTATCTGTTAATAAAGCGAGAAGTGTGAGCATGATTCGGACCCCAAATATCATCCTCCCATAGGGAACTCCTACCACTGTGTCACACTTGATCAGTGGCTTCTAGACAGTGGTTTTTCCCATCACATGATAGGTGATAAACAAAATTTAACAAACATTTAACCAATGGAAGGAGGCAATGTTAGATTTAGAAGAGGTGCACATCATCAGATTACTAGAACTAACATTCAAATTGATACGAATATCGTATCGGATAGGGAAGAACTTTGAGCGTTCTTCAAGCTCCAAGAAGATGAGGTAGAGAAAGATGGAAAGCTTCGAGCGTTTCCGAGCTCCAAGAGAATAGAGAAGGAGATTAGGGTTTTGATATTTCTTTCTTGATTTCTTAATAACGGGGAAGGATTATAATATATAGAGAGTAAATCTATGCTAGTTGACTTAATGGGCTTGGGCCCGTACTAAACCCTAATGTATAGAAAATTACTTCCTCCGTCCCCCTAAGATGTTCTCATTTTGACTTTTGGTGGTTTTTAAGGAGAGTTGAAAAAAGGTAAAAGTTTACCATATTACCCTTAATGAAAAATGGGTGGAGTGTATTAAATGAAGTGGGTGAGGTGTAATAAATAAAATAAGTGGGGGTAGTTGTGGTATTTTAATTGTTAAAAAATGAAATGAGAGAATCTATTGTGGACAAAGAAAAAGGGCTATTGGGAAGATCTATGGGGGACGGAGGGAGTAATAAATAATAATAAATAATACTAATTAATAATTAATATAACTAATCTATTATCATATCATTCCCACCCCCTTAAAAGCCACCTTGTCCTCAAGGTGGAGGCTCCCATTCGTGCTTCTGGACCAGAGAGATAATGCAAAACCAAAGGAGTAGTCCACTCTTGAAATCTTCAACCATATTTGCTCAAGCAACAAGGTGACGGAAATATGAGAAAGGGCACGTGGCATATGTAGCTGCTCGCGGTGAAACCAGGTGCTCCATCGTGACCACATCAACAATGTCAAACAACTTAATGGTGTCATCAAATGAAATGAGGTTGCCCACTTGCTTATTATTTGCATCTGCCATCTTGACGATACTTGCTAGAACTGCGCACTCTGTGATTGCCACTCCAGCTAAGTGATTTAGTAGTACATATAATTCATGGGGTGTAGAATCTGAGTTGTAAGATGGCTCGTCACTTTGAATAGTAGTACCATCATTTTCATCAATAGCACCGTCATCAACGCCAATAATGTCAAACCCGCTATAATCGTCCTTTTTTATATGAGATTCCTCGCTTGATTCTTTGGACTCATCTGTGTCACGAGCCTTCTCCGATGTCTTCTTGAAGCAAATATAATCCAAGCCATTTAGCAGAGCAAATCGAATTTTGAACTTTTGAATAAAATCATCCCAACCATCAATTAAGCCACCGCGCATACACCAATTAAACCATGCCAAGTCAGAGCCCTCTAACATTGATGTCACACGGTTCAAATGATTAGCTAAAGGGATGTCATAAAACTCAAAATACTCACATAGCTTGACTAAACACGACAAAGGTTCAGATCCGTCACATTTTGAGGGCAACGTTGGTGGAGAAAGTGGAGCGCCTGTTACTTTCCATATAATACCCATAATGTGTGCTCTGAAAATTTGTAACTCAAAAAGAATTTGACTTGGCACATTTGGAGGTCCACGAACTAAATCCTGTACCGAGCAAAAAATTTCTACATTGAGCACATCATAATCAATTTGACCATCAAAATTTTGGATCGACCTGAGCTTCATTATAATTTCATATACGTGATAAAAAATCAAGCACACCCCTTCATCATACTCAATTTCTCCATAAAGGACCTTCTCTAACAAACTAAGAAGTCTACCTAATGCTGAGTCCATTGTCAAAATAAGCACCACCACACAAATATATAGCACCAAAAAATACCTCAAGTCTTGCCGCTGTTGGTACCAATCTGATGTGTTTTGTTTTTGGCGATCAACTATAGGATAGAATCTATTCCCAATTGTTTAATTTCCAACACTAAAATTGATGGGCTAGGTTGTTCGGGGCAACCGATGATGGACAGTCAAAAGGTACCCTATACCGTAATTGGTACCGTAAGGGGTACCGTGAGCCAATCTGAGAAGGTACCCCTTACTGTCAGGTCGGGCCCCCCCTACTGTAAGGGGTACCGTGAGTCAATTTGAGAAGGTACCCCCTACCGTAACCTATATGTAGGTACCGATAGTAAAAATGGAGATCAGCTCCTTTTGCACTATGGCGGTACCCCCTACCGTGACCACACACAGGTACCGACCGTTAAGGCAGAGAAACAGCCTAAATACTATTGTAACGGTAACCTATACCGTTTGAACGGTACCCCCTACCGTTACCGTAGGAGAAAAAATTCAAATTCCGGATTTCAAATCTAATCACATTTAATTAGTCAAACTCCTTCCAAATTTGTCTCCAACGGCTAAATAACATTTTCCACCATAAATACAAGCTTGATCCTTCATATTTCAATATGAAACAAAGCTCCAAACATCCTATATTCATATTTTAAGTATGTATCTTTTATTCTATAATTTTGATATTTTGACTATTTCAAGAGCCTTTTTTCTCCAGATTTTTATACACACACTTGTGAGCTTGTGTTTTACATATATGCTCTCATATTCATAAGTTTATATTGTATTTTTTAGAGAGTATAATTACGTTCTACACCGGCTAAGTCTTGTTCTTCATTTTTGTATTCAAGACGTTGTGTAGAACCATTTCTTGTGTTCTTCAAACACATCTTTTTACGGTTGAGAATAGCCGTTAAATTCTCATGTTGTAACGGTCAAGGATAGCCGTATAAATCCATGGGTAGAGGTTCAAGGATAGCCTTTGAAATCCTTGGGGGAACGGTAGAAGATAGCTGTTAAATCTTCATTGTAAACGGTTTGAGATAGGCGTTGTAAAATCTCGGAGTGAATCCTATTGGCTAGGGTTGTTTGCCAAAACTAGTGCGGTGCTTTGACGGTGTTCAAGACACCAGGACTTATTGGATTCGGAAATCCTTAAGTAGGAGCCTTAAGGTACAGGAGTAAGGGTTTCCCGAACCAGTATTGTAACGCCACAAAATATGGCCTAAAATTTATTATAAAACAAAAGTAAATTCTGTCCGATAAAGAATATTTATACGTTTGACCAAAAATAAATGGACTTTCAAAATAATTACTTTTTGTTAAAAACTTACTTTTATGGATATATCTCGAAAAGACGAATCCAAAGGTACATTTTAAGAACCAATCTGATTTATAGATTTCAAGTTATGTCAATTTTAAATATTAAAATTTGTAACTTTGACCCATAAATTAAACTCAATTCAAAAGTGATTTCATAAGATTAGAAATCTTAACCTTTGACACTTGACAACATCATATTCATGATTTGGATTAAATTTATATATTTTTATATCATTTATATTATTAAATTAATTTATGACAGAGACAGACCCAGACATTAAGAAAAATAAAAGTTCTCAGAAAAATATTTTGATTATGTCAAAATTCTAGTTTTGACAGTCTCATTCCAAAAACACAATTCGTTTTCAATTCGGAGCAGTTTGGGCGAAAAAGCGCGTACCGTTTGGAGTAAACTGTTCACTTTTGGCTAAAAGCCAAAACTTAATTCTCAAATATCTCCCCAAATCACGTAGCCAACCAAGGGATATCTCACAAGCCTATTTTTCAATCTCCTCCAACTCCATTAACACAAGCCATCCAAAATAATCATATAATACTCCACCACCATCTTCATCATTATACCTCATTATCATCTTCCACC